GGAGAGGGACTGGGGAGGGGGGGGGGATGGGGTGGAATGGGTCATTGGGGAGATAAAGGGACATTTGTAATATTTTAAATAAAAATTTGAAAAAATTAAAAAATAAACATAAAAAAAATAAAGGAAAGCAGGAAGTTTGGGGATTAGTAGCAAGTGGGGGAGTTGGAAGCAATAAGGCAGCAGAACAGATCCTGTCCCTAGAAGAACAATTTGTGTGCATGCAAACTAAGACATCTGAGGGTCTGGGGTGAGAAAGGGTGCAGAGAAGACCACAGCCACATAAAAATGGAGGCAGTGGGATGGGGCTGCCTCCCACATCACAGGATGTAACGTTCTGGAGCTAAAGACAGGAAGACGGCATCTGCTGCTCCATAGAAGATCTTAGGCCTAGCTAGCTGGGGTGCAATTTGGTTCCCACCTGTCAGCATGTCTGCTTATATAGATCTGCCTTTTCACAGTTACGGAATCGTATGTCTACAGGCACAGCTTATGGTAGCAAATCATCTCTCACAGCAGCCGTTCGGGTGTCTCTTGCTTCTCTGTTACGTGTAATCACTGCACATGCTTCCATGAATGCTTCCTTAGGCCTGATTTGGAAAAGCTGAACTACTAGATCATAGCTATTGCAAATTGCCTTTCAAGTAGCTTGGGCCCATTTAGTCTCTCACCAGCAATGTTTGAGATTAACTGTTCCCACTGACATTCTTCAACACATTATTATTTTTTTACCTTTCTAATCGGGTGAGCAAATTTATTTTTTGCCTCAAGTTTGAGGATGTGCCCGGCCAAGCGTGGCTCAGCGGTGAGTGTCGACCTGGGATCCAGGAGATCGCGGTTCGATTCCCGGTCAGGGCACATGCCTGGGTTGCGGGCTCGATCCCCAGTGTGGGGCTTGTGGGAGGCAGCTGATTAATGGCTCTCTCATCATTGATGTTTCTCTCTCTCTCTCTCCCTCTCCTTTCCTTTCTCTGAAATCAATAAAGATATTTTTTTTAAAAACTGAGGGTGAATCAAACTCTCTTGTCAAGATTATGTGTAGGTGATATATCAAGGATGTTATTTGTAATACCCCCACATGCTCAAAATACTCTATTTCATCTCTCCACTTCTCTATTTCCCCTATAATCTAAATTCTGGATTCCATAATTCCAACCTATGTTTTTTTAAGAGCTTATTGATTTGGGAGCTTTGCAGATAAACCAATGAAAGGCTATCATTGAAAAACTTGAATATTATTTTGCTCACTATCTAGTTACAATACTATAACCAAATCTGTATTATGTTTTAAATTTTTTTAGCAAATGATATAAGAACTTTACCCAAAACAAGGGATTCCTTTAGGAAGGATCTCCTTGTATATAAAAACATGTTATCTTTGAAAGTGCACGTTCTTTAGAGCTGGAAATAATCATTCACTTAATCATATACCGTGTCTTATATCCCTATTATTTCATCTTATGTGGCATTTGTTTACAGATGCTCTAAAGTATCACTCATCGATGCTTCAATTCTTGTCACAAAACATATAATTTGGGATTATCTATTCTATAAAATGTGAAGTGATTCTTTCTTAACAAATTAACTTCTGAAAGTCTAATTTGATGGCTAAGGTAGTAAGTCAAAAGGCCTCTGTTTTCCATGTTAACATCACCAAGTAAGTAAATTTTCTTAGATCCTTATGACCAAAGGTAACTACTTCCAAGGGCTTTATCTGGATATGTAGACTTCCTTATTTCAGAAAATGTAAATTTTGGTACAGAAATATTAGTAAATATATTTTTTTATAGTTTGGATTTTTTCATATTGTCTTTACATCTCACAAATAGAAAAAGTAAAGCTAATAAAAATTATTTTTAAATCATCCTGACACAAAATGAGAGGACTAAAAAAATTTAAAAAGTGATCATAGTAGTATTGACTGGTGTTAAATTTCTTTGGTGTTATAATTGTTAATCATTGTTGATTATATCTTCAGTTATGTCAATTAATGTTAACCTTTACATAATTGTAAGCATTTAAACCAAATGCAATGCAAGATAAGTCATTGGATCCTGGATTTAAAAAATAAAAACTGTCTAAAGTACACGTGGATAATTAGGGAAATTTAAATATGAATTATTTGTTCTATAACAAGATTCTATTGATGTTAAATTTACTTTGCATTATAATTATGTAGAAGTCTGCCCTTTTTCATAGAGAATACATGCTCAAGAATTTGGAAGTGTCATGTGCCCTAAAGTCAATAATATACTTTCGAACAGTTCAGGAAAACGCTGTGTATATTTGTGTGTACGTATATATACAGAGAGAGAGAGACAGAGAGAGAACATAAATGTGGCAAATAGCTACAACTAATCTATGTGATGGAAATATGGGCGTTCATTGTACTATTCTTGGCATTTTTATTTTAATATAGGTTTGAAACTTTGCACAACAAAAATTGGGGGGTGTAAATAACCACTGAAGATAAATTTGCACTCTATCATGTTTGTGAAGAGCATAGAGGGACAGTATCAGATATCTAAGATAATCATTAGGTATGTGATTGGAAATGGTTCAGTAACTTGAAATCACTACTGAAACATGGCAACAAAATGATATTAGAATTAGCGCACTACCTTTGTATATCTCCAGCATTACCATTGTAATATGAATGTTTTACCCACATTTTAAATATTCTCTACTCCCTCAAGAAACTTCTCAAGTTCAGAAACACAAGGTTCTTATACTGACCAATGCAAGCAATGTTCTAAAAATATCCATATAAATATACTGGCCAAACAAGGCCTATATTCAAGCACAGGTACATGTGCCCAAGAAGAAGAATGTTTGAACAGGTCTAAAGATAATTCCAACAACTGCTTCTCGGTTTTTTTGGTGAAAATCAAGTGTAAAGATGATCCAAACAAAAGCCCACAAAGTAGATTCTCCCCAAATAACCCAGATGGCAATTCGAAAAGCATCATCACTGCAGATCACATTTACTTTGAACATGTCCTGCTACTCAGAAAACACTTATCACAAGCTCACTGAATGAATAATTGAGAGTAAATCCAGTTGGAATTTATTGTGATTGTATTCCTCTCTAAAACTACATCACTGTCACAATTCAAGAGTTCTGCTCTCTGTGCAAAATTCTGCTTAGGGTTTTCGGCCTTTTTTAAAAAAAAAAAATGAAAGTACAGTTAGTTGGCTTTCTTTTAAAAATACAGAAGCTAAACCTGTATAGAAATTAGCGAATGAGGACTGAATAAATTACACAACAAATATTTGATCAGACCAGTCAATTTTGGGGGGTAAAACAATATTTTAGAAAAGCCCCAAATGTGAACATGAGGAGGTAAGAGAAGGAAGTGTTTGACCTAATTTGTCTTTATTGACCAACTCCATTGAATATTTAAACTCCCACTCGCCTCTGCTTTGGTAAACTAGAAAAGCATTTTACGAGTCATAAGGTTGGATCTGAGTTCTGAGGTTAAAGGAACTAAATGAGCATGAGAAGAGAAATGGCAGAAAAAGTCAGCAGTTATAGGGCCTGTTGCCTCATTTTCTTACCTTCACTAACCACTCTGCTCCTTTGGTCCTGCAGAAACACAACGATTGACCATACAGGGATGAACAAGCCAGCCAGTGCTTTATCCAGAAATGTTCGCAAGCCTTTGGTGAGTGTAACTTCCACTACTCAAAAACAAGAAACTAAGCTGCTTGTTGCATTTCCATTTTTCTTATAAGTAATCCAATGGAAAAAGAGTTGTTTTGCTCGTCTGATTTGTTCTAAAGAACAACAGTGGGAAGTCCCGGAAAGGGGGGAGGCAATAACTGACAAACCCACATCGAGCCACAGAATGGTGTTTCTTCCCCTTTTTCAAAAAGTGAAACCTATCTATGAAACTGTCTCTTGTTAAAACAGTTTATCATTACGCATTATGTAAGACCCCTATCAATTTACTCCTATAACTAAATTATAGGACCTCTCTCCCAGAAGAGAGCCAAAGTCAGATACGATTTAGGAAATTCTCAGTCTTATCACTAATTATAATTTTTAAGAAGTAATATTTCTTAACTGTACTCATAGTTTTAAAACATGCAACTTAAAACCATTTTCTCTCTCAAATTAACATAGGTAAAAAATTCATGAAAACACTTAGTGGCAAGGTTTTGTAGAAACAGGCACTCTCATGTACTATTGATGAGTTTATAAATATTTTTAGGGCAATTTCCCAGTACCTGTCAAAGTTGTGTGTTTTTTATATTTATATCCTTTGACCCAACAATTTCACTTCTATAAACTTATCCATGTGATATATTTGCACCTGTGCACAGACATGTGAAAAGATATTTGTTGCAGCATTGATGAAGGAAGTAAACTCATGGAAAAAATTCACAAATAAGATATTGGCTAAAAAAATGGGGAGAGATTCCTATCTTAGAATACTATGCAGTTGTTGGAGTGAGGTAGTTTAATGTCTAATAATAGGGAAAGATCTCCAAAATCCATTCTTTAACAAAAACATAACATGTTCCAATTTGTATTTTTAAAGGCATATGTATATATATGTGTGTGTGTGTGTGTGTATATATATATACACACACACACACACATATATATTTGCTTATACATAGAATGTTTCTAAAGGGATACACAGAAAACCAGAAATAAGCAATTGACTTTTGAGAATGAATCTTACATTTTACTCTATACATTTTGAAATTTCTACTTGAAAACTAGTATTTTAAGTCATATTTTTATTCCCTTTTTTATTTTTTAATTACAGTTGACATTCGACTTTATATTAGTTGCAGGTGTACAGCACAATGGTTAGACATTTATATAACTTAAGAAGTTATGTCTAGTACCCACCTGGCCCCATACATAGTTATTATAATATTACTGACTATATTCCCTATGCTGTACTTTATATCCCCATTACAACTTTGTAAGTACCAACTTGTACTTCTTAATCCCTTCATTTTTTTACCCAGCCCCCCAAACCCCCTCCCATCTGGCAACCATCAGTTTGTTTCTGTTTTGTTTGTTCATTTATATAGATTTTTAGTTTCCACATATAAGTGAAATCATAAGATATTTGTCTTTCTGTCTGACATTACACTTAGCATAATACCCTCTATGTCCATCCATGTTGTTGCAAATGGTAAGATTTCATTATTTTTCATGGGCAAGTAATATTCCATTGTATATATGTACCTTCACTTGTTTATCTGCTAGTCTCTTGATGGGCACTTGGGTTGATTCCATATCTTGGCTATTGTAAATAATGTTGCAATGAACGTAGGGGTGGATATGTGTTTTCGAATTAGTGTTTTGGACTTTTTCAGATAAATACCCAGAAGTGGCATTGCTGGGTCATATGATAGTTCTATTTTTAATTTTTTGAGGAACCTCCATACTGTTTTCCATAGTGGTTGTACCAATTTGCATTCTCACCAACAGTGCATAAGGGTTCCCTTTTTCCACATCCTCGCCAACACTTGTCGTTTGTTGATTTATTGATGGTGACCATTCTAACAGGTGTTAGGTGATATCTCATTCTAATTTTAATTTGCATTTCTCTGATAATTAGTGACGTTGAGCATCTTTTCATGTGTCTACTGGCCATCTGTATGTCCTCTTTGGAGAAATGTCTGTTCATGTCCTTTCCCCACTTTTTAATCAGATTGTTTGGGGTTTTTTTGGTGTTAAGTTGTATGACTTCTTTATATATTTTGGGTATTAACCCTTTATCAGGTGTATCATTGGTGAATATGTTCTCCCATTCAGTAGGTTGTATTTTCATTTTGTTGATGGTTTCCTTTGCTGTGCAAAAACTTTTCAGTTTGATGTAGTCCCATTTGTTTATTTTTCCTTTTGTTTCCCTTGCCCAAGGAGATATATCAGAAAAAATATTACTAAGAGCAATATCAGAGTGTTTACTGCCTATGTTTTCTTCTAGGAGTTTTATGATTTCAAGTCCTACATTTAACTCTTTATTTTAAGTTTATTCTTGTATATGATGTAAGAAAGTGGTCTAGTTTCGAATTTTTGCATGTATCTGTCCAATTTTCCCAACACCATTTGTTGAATAGACTGTCTTTATCCCATTGTGCATTCTTACCGCCTTTGTCATATATTAGTTTATTTCTGGGCTCTTTATTGTGTTCCACTGATCTATGTGTCTCTTTTTATGCTAGTACCATGATGTTTCGATTACTATAGCCTTGTAGTATAGTTTGATATTAGGTAGCATAATGTCTCCAACTTTTTTGTTCTTTCTCAAGATTGCTTTGGCTATTTGGGGTCTTTTGAGGTTCCACATAAGTTCTAAGGTTATTTGTTCTAGTTCAGTGAAATATACCATTGGTATTTTGATAGGAATTGCATTGAATGTATAGATTGCTTTGAGTAGCATGGACATTTTAACAATGTTAATTCTTTTTATCCATGAGCATGGTATATGCTTCCATTTATTTGTATCGTCAGTTTTTTCCTTCAGTGTCTTATAGTTTTCCAAGTACAGGTCTTTCACCTCCTTGGTTACATTTATTACTAGTTTATTTTATGCTGTTGTAAATGAGATTGTTTTCTTAATTTTTTTTTCTGGGAGTTCATTATTGGTGTATAAAAATACACCCATTTCTGAATATTAATTTTGTATCTGCTGCTTTAATGAATTCATTTATCAGTTCTAATAATGTTTTGGAGGAATCTTTAGGGTTCTCTATATATAGTATCATATCATCTACAAATGACAATTTTACTTCTTCCTTTCCAATTTGGATGCCTTTTATTTCTTTTTCTTCTCTGAGCACTGTGGCTAGGACTTCCAGTACTATGTTGAATAAGTGGTGAAAGTGGACATCCTCGTCTTGTTCCTGATCTTAAGGAAAATGTTTTTAGCTTTTCACCATTGAGTATGTTAGCTGTCGGTTTGTCATATATGGACTTTATTATGTTGAGGTATGATCCCTCTATTCCCACTTTGCTGAGAGTTTTTATCATAAATGATTGCTGAATTTTGTCAAATGCTTTTCTACATCTATTGATATAATCATATGATTTTTATTCTTCATTTTGTTTATGTGACATATCAAGTTAATTGATTTGCAGATATTGAACCAACCTTACATCCTGAGAATAAACCCCACTTGATTGTGATATATGATCTTTTTAATGTATTGCTGAATTTGGTTTGATAATACTTTGTTGAGGATTTTTTTAATTGATTTTAGAGAGAGAGGAAGATAGAGAGAGAGAAACATCAACTTGTTGTTCCACTTACTTATGCATTCATTGGTTGACTCTTGCATGTGTCCAACCAGGGATTGAAGCTGCAACCTTGGCATATCGGGACAATATTCTACTGGCCAGGGCTGAAGATTTTTGCATTTACGGTTCATCAGTGATATTGGCCCATAATTTTCTTTTTCTTTTTTTGGTAATGTCTTTGTCTAGTTTTGGAATCAAGGTAATTCTGACCTCATGATATGAGCTTGGGCTCAGCCTGTGTGACTCAGTGGATTGAGCATCATCCTATGCACCAAGAGGTCGTTGGTTCAATTCTTGGTCAGGGCATATGCCCGGGTTGTGGGCTCCATCCCCAGTGCAAGGGTGAGGGAGGTATGCAGGAGGCAGCCAATTGATGTCTTGCTCTCACATCTATGTTTCTCTCTCTCCCTCTCCCTTCTTCTCTTTCTAAAAATCAATTTAAAAATCTCTTTTTAATTTTAATTTTTTTATCTTTATTGTTGAGAGTATTACAGATGTTCCCCCCTTTTTTGCCTCCATTGCCCCCCTCCACCCAGTTCCTGCCCCAGCCCAGGCCTTTACCGCCTATTGTCTGTGTCCATGGGCAATGAATATATGCATATAAATTCTTTGGTTAATCTCTTCCCACCCCCCTTACCCCTTCCCTCTGAGATTCATCAGTTTGTTCCAGGTTTCCATGCCTCTGGTTCTATTTTATTCATCAGTTTATTTTGTTCATTAGATTCCACATATGAGTGAGATCATGTGATATTTGTCTTTCTCTGACTGGCTTATTTCACTTAGCATAATCATCTCCTGGTACACCCATGTCGCTTCAAAGGGTAAGAGATCCTTCTTTTTTACAGCTGCGTAGTATTCCATTGTGTAAATGTACAACAGTTTTTTTATCCGTTCATCTGCTGATGGACATTTGGGCTGTTTCCAGATCTTAGCTATTGTAAATATGTTGCTATGAACATAGGGGTGCATATATTCTTTTGGGTTGGTGTTTCAGGATTCTTTTTACATTTTGGAAATTAACCCCTTATCAGATATATCATTGGAAAATATGTTCTTCCATACAGTGGGTTCTCTCCCTTTTGATGCTGGTTTCTTTTGCTGTGCAGAAGCTTTTTATTTTGATGTAGTGGCACTATGTCAAGTTGGCTTGCCATTTCTCTTTTGATAAGACCTGAGCTTATGAAATTGGCTTTAAACTGCTTTCTTTTTGCTGACTATAATAAAACCGAATTATATTCTTTGTAGCTGAACTCTTGTAATATGATTTTCTATCAATCTGTTGGATGGTAGGTAAAGAGTTAGTGCCTTGATTTCTGTGCCTCTAAATGGAAGTAATTCCTATTATTCAGTTACCTTTCCTGATGTCAAAATTTCTTCAAGCTATTTCCATTATGATGTCACCCATACTTAGTTTACCCCCAATCCTCACCATATTTTCTCCACCCTGTCTACCCTCTACT